CCCGCGGGTGGCTGCGCTCGGCGCGCGAGGTCGCCAGCCCCGGGCCGCGCCGCCCTATCGTTAGCGGCCCCGGCGCGCACAGCACCTCTCCCGGGGCTGCCTGAGCCCGCCGACGCCAGCCGGTCACCCCTGCGCTTCCTGGTGGAGCAGGTTCTGAGAACAAGGTCCCTCCAAGAATAAAGTAGAAAAATCTTTCCCGTCAAGGAATAATTCTTCCAAATACAGAGTCTTACTTTAGGGATGGAGGACACCTGCCTTTTTTCCCCTTTCAGCCTGGGCTTTCTAATCCAATTTTTTGCCTACATGCCAATAACTGGAAGCGTTGTTCTTATACATCTGGGGCAGTGACCGCTTTCCAAAGTCCGTGAGAATGTATGTAAGATGGAACCAGCAGTTAGCGTAATGGCTATGTCGTTGCACTCCCATGTAGTCGACTGCGGTTCGAATCCCGGACCCAGTGGCTTGAACTCACGCCGGGCGCGGGTGCGTGCGGGCCCAAGATCCCATGGAGGAGAAGGGATTGCGGCGTGGCCATCCCCCTGGGGGGTGATTTCTCGCTGTCTGTCTTTCTCCCAAGTGCACACGCCCTGTAAAAACGTATGTAAGGTGCACCCTGAGTCGGATCAGTAGAGCGATGGATTTCCTTCGTATTGTTTCCCCTGCGGAGCCAGCAGTGTGGCATGGACCTCATGTCCTAACTGCATCATTGGTTTTATCCTGACATAGATACTTCGGAATGGCTTCTCTAGATTGTAACTGTAGGTCTCAGTGAAATGTAGCTACTGCTCACGCCCAGTTGGTAGGGAAGAAGAAACGCTTTCTTTCCAGAGTGATGCCCGGTAGAGTTCTAGTAATCCCCAAAATGACCCCCTGGAGTGACCAAGGCAGGGCGGCCAGGAAGGCAGGGGTGACAGTGCACCCCACGTGTGCACGCCGGGTCCGCCAAGCCGATGTGTAACCGCCTTTCTGCAGTTCTCTTTCCAGCCTGGTGGATGGGGAGCCGCGCTGGCCGACAGGCTGGTCAGGTGAGGACCGTTTCTGGACTGATGCTGTGTTTACTGGAGGAACACCGACTACCGCGGGGTTCGGGGAAGGACACGGCCACACACCCCCCATGGTGACGCTGGGCTGTGTGGGAGGGCGTGGGGGAGAGCAGACACGGGTTTGCCACCGGGCAAGACAGACAGAGTTGTTGGAGAGGTCTTAGGGCTGGGATCCCAAAAAAGCTTACCATCTAAGAACTCCAGTCCTCATTCCGTTCTTTTGGTAGGTGTGATTTAAGTGGCCAGTGAAGAGCTGAGTGGCACACACCCACACACACACACACACCCTTGCCGGGCGTTCTGGTCCCGTGTTCTCGGGGACAGATTTCCAGGAGAAGCTAGGGTGCTGGTGGGCGGCGGATGTGGCGGCAGGGAGCCGTGCGGTGGCACAGGCGAAACGCGCCCTCTGCCAGGTCCTCATGGGAAGGTTACGGGTTTGCGGCCAGAGACCGCCCTAGGCACATGCGTGTGCGTGACCTGGTCGCCCGGGGAGCTGAGGACCCTGCCTGGGGTGCTGTGTCTGTTTCTGTCTGCCTCTCACTCAGGAATGAACTTTTCACTAAGTGCACAGTCAGGGGCAGTGGAGCGTGGCCCTGTGGAGGCCACAGGAGGCATCAAAGTCCCCGTTTCCCCGCTGCTGCAGGTCCAGGGCAAAGTCAAATCCTTCACTTCTCAGCACCAGAACTGCCACTTCCGGTTCACATCCAACAGCCTTTTTTTTTGAGTGACATAATCTGTCTTTAGCTATGGACAGCTTCTTCCAGACCAAAGACCCGATTATCTCCTCCGGTCATCTGCACAGCCCCGGCCATCCCCGGTGTCCTCCGGTCATCTGCACAGCCCCAGCCATCCCCGGTGTCCTCCGGTCATCTGCACAGCCCCGCCCATCCCCGGTGTCCTCCGGTCATCTGCACAGCCCCAGCCATCCCCAGTGTCCTCCGGTCACTTGCACAGCCCCAGCCATCCCCGATGTCCTCCGGTCATCTGCACAGCCCCAGCCATCCCCGGTGTCCTCATTAAGCGGAATTCCCAACTCGGAGTTCCGACAAGGCGGTCTGCTGGAGCTGCCCCCTGTGCTGCAGGCATCCGACGAGTTTTAGCTTAAACATGTGCTCGTTTTTATCACAGATAGCATTTTAACACATTTCAGATCCACTTACTACCAGTCCTTTTTGAGATTAATGTATTTTCATCAGGTTATTTTAGCCTTATCGAAGTTTTGTTTTGTTTTGTTTTTATACCAAAAATACTTGAAGAGTTTGAAGGCGTTAGGGTAAACTCTTCCCGGTTTTCAAAAGGTGCTGCTGTTTGCTTTTAAAGATGTGCCCTTGCTAGCCTTCAGAGCCTGGATGTTTTAATTCTTTTCCTCTTTCTTAAATACCTATTATTGGGCCAGTAGGTGGCACGGTGGTTAAGGCTACACTCCCACATGGCTGACGGCAGTTCGAGTCCCAGACCCACATGGCTGATGGCAGTTCGAGTCCCAGACCCAAGGCTGTTTAATCCCTTCTCCTCCATTCTCCTCTCGGGATCTTGGGCACGCACACACACGTGCCCAGCGTGAGTTTAAACCACTGAATCAGGGACTCAAACCACAGTTGACTGCATGGAAGTCCAGCGACATAGCCATTACGCCAACTGCTGGTTCCTACTGAGATTACTTTAAACACCTCCTTCTGCGGCAGCCTGTCTCCTTCTGTGGCACCGTGCCCTGTCTACTTCAAGAGGTCCCTAGGTGCAAACCTGGAGCCTTCCCGTGGGTCAGCTTCACAGAGACATGTGTTTTATTGTCGTGCCACTGTCCTGCCCCGCCCCCCAACTTTTTTTTTTTTTCCAAAGAATTATTTTACTTGGGACTGGCAGGTGGCACGGTGGTTAAGATTGCTGGACTCCCACATGGCCGAGTGTGGTTTGAGTCCCGCACCTAGCAGCTTGCTTTCTCTCTCTCTGGTCAAACTAAAATAAATGAGTGAATAAAGTAAATAATTCTTTGAAAAAAAAAAAAAAGAACTATTTTATTTGGGGCTGGCAGGTGGCATAGAGGTTAAGGGTGCTGGACTTCCCACATGGCTGACCATGGTTAGAGTCCCAGACCTGGAGGCTTGCCTTCTCACTTTCCCTATTTCTCTCTCTCTCTCTTTCTCTGTTCCTCTCTGATCAAATTAAAACAAAGTTAAATAATTCTTTTGGAATTTTTTTTTAAGAATTATTTTATTTAACTTTTAAGATATTATTGGGGCCAGCAGGTGGTGTGGTGGTTAAGGGCGCTGGAATCCAACACGCTGACCATAGTTCCAGTCCCAGATCTGGCGACCTGCTTTCTCACATTCTCTCTCTCTCTCTCTCTCTCTGTGTTCCTCTCTGGTCAAATTAAAACAATAAAATTAGATAAAATAATTCTAAGAAAAAATTATTATTTTTTAATATTTCCAGAGAAAGAGAAAGCAAGAAAGTAAACCTCCAGGTCTGGGACTTGAATCATGGTTGGCCACATGGGAGTCCAACACTCCCAACCACCACGCCACCTGCTGGCCCCCAAAACTTTTTAAGACCAATAAACGCCTACTAATAAACTGGCTTAAATTGGAAAACAACTAATTTAGTGAAATTTTTGAACCTAAGCTAAAAAATCTCAAAAATATTCTATATACTTATTCCAGACTAAACCATCGTTTTATTTGCATTACAGTTTATTTAAATGATTACCGTGACTCTCTACCTAAAATACTGGCTCGGATTAACGTCTGTTGTAAACTTGGTTGAAAAGCATGTTGAAATCAGTTCACCGGCAGGAGAGACCCTAGTTCTCCCACATGGAGTTATTTCCAGCAGCTCACTGAAGACTCCGGTGAACTTACGTGTATCTGAGTGACTCAGGGAAGACCAGGTGGTCAGCTCCCTTCCTGGTCTTACAAAGTGGAGTAAGAGCAGGGGAGACGCCCTCACCGAATGCTGGCTATGGGACTTTTCCCACGGTTCTTTCCCTGCAGTTTATCGTTTACATTTTTTTTCATTTCAGAAAATGTGACGTTCTGAATCGTGGATTTTCAGGTTACAATACAAGATGGGCCAGGATCATCCTTCCACGGTTAATCAGGAAAGGGAACAGCCTGGACAGCCCGGTAGCAGTTACAATTTTCTTTGGTGCCAATGACAGTGCACTAAAAGGTAAAGGCCTTTGTGTGTTCCTAACTAATTCTTCATCACTTCTGGGTCTGCAGAAAACCTGCATCGGTACGCTTCTTGCAGTTGTTAACTCACCTCCCCGCAGCCAGTTTGGCCGACGTCATGATGAGGACGGAGTTCATCTGTGTGTACGCGTTCTGGCTTCAGAGTCGGGCGTTCCTGCCCCTGGTTCTCTGTGGTCGGCAGCCCCAAGACCACGGACACGCTGGCGTTCGCGCGTGCGCGGGAAGGCG